TCTTTTAGAGTTCTAAACTTCGTTTTCAGACTTCGTTTCCAATTATTACGGCATGGGTACCTTATGCACCGAATTTCGAAACACATACTCTAATTACGCTAAATATGCTCTATTAATTATGAAAACGCTATATTACAGAAAAAGACTGAGCATTTTGTTTTGTTCTTTTTTTTTCAAACAATTATCTATTCACATTTGATAGTTTTATGTGATAAGTATACCAGATGTGACAGTGAGGATGAAGAACAACTCTTATGTACTAATGCAGTTCACCTTTGGACATTTGATAACTAAAACAAACAAGACGTGAGCTTTTAACAAGGGAAGGAATGAATGTGAAATGGACTAAAATATAGCAACATACATATTTGGCAGTATAATAACAGAATGACTTAGACACCCACTCTGGTTTTTCAACTGCATAAACCCCCTCCTTGAGCAATAGTTCCATCTCTTTCACATGATGGTCCAGGGATGCCTCCATACCCCATCTTTATTCCTTGGGACTCAATTGAAACATCAAATACTCCTTCATGAAAATAGTTGAAGATGTTCTGGTAAATGCCTCCTCCACATTCTGTGTTGTTTTGGCAAAGTCCTCTATGAATATAAAACCATGCTCCTTGGCAAACTGTTTGCCCTCCTCTATGATTACATCTCTTCTGTGTAAGCGATCACACCTGTTTCCGATAAGCATTATGGTCATGTTTTCATTTGCATGTTGCCTTGCATCTTCTAACAAACTAACTAAGTGATTAAAATTTTCCCATCTTGTAATATCATAAACAAGTAGTGCACCAGTGACACCTCGATTATAAGATATTGTTATAGATCTAAGACCAGATGTGTCCCAGATCTCCAAGTTTATTGGCTTGTTCTCAATTGTAATCATTCTAGCACCAAATTTAACACTAATGATTAAATCATGCATTGGTTGAAAGTGTTTGTCAGTAACTTGTAAAAGAAGGCATGACTTTCCAACTCCGGTGTCCCTGATGATGTTGTACTTGAAAAGGTAGGCGCACCACATCGTTTTGGTTTATTGTCGTAGAGAAGGAAGAATCCTCGTTGAATGCAATCGATGACAATGTGACATGTATTTGATTTGATCATATCTTGATATATGTTCTTCCGTTTCAATCGATTTATATCTCTTTGAAAAGATCACTTTGAGTTCTAAAACTCATTTTTCATACTTCATTTGTTGTATTTGAGTTTTCCTTTTCTTGTTGTGTTTTGATCTGTTCTAAGCGATTTATAGCTCGTTGGATAGATCATATTGAGGTCTAAGACTCTCATACATACTTTGTTTACAAAATACTAGATTCTCACCCGTGCGATGCACGGAACAAAATTAAATAAAATTTATGTCGTACTATTTGTTAATAATATTAGCTTATAATATGAAGTAATATATAAAGAAATCTTAAATTTGAGAGAGAAATCATAAAAGGAAAGCAAACAAAAAAACATTGACCATGATTCTAATTGGAGATGTAGGATGTTTTTAGTTGGACTGAAATTTGTTGGTCTGATCTGATCTAGTCTGAACTGTTAGATCTGGTAATGTTTGGTCATTTTGTATTTATATAACTATCAAAGTCTGGTCTGATTTGGTCTGGTCTGAACTGATCTGGTCTGGTCTGATCTGGTCTAGTTTCACGAATGGTCCTCCCATTGATTTGAGACTGAAAACAATCCAAGTCAAAACATTCGTAGGAAAATTCTTTCGTGAATTCAAACTTTTCTTCTTAATTTCGTAACAACTTTCATAGTAATTTAAAGTTTGTTACCGTTTTCTTTTCGGAATATATTTAAAAGATTGTCGTCTTTTTTCTGTAAGTTTTTTTTTATAATTTGGTAATTGTGTTTTTCTTTAAAACTTACCAAATCACCCATATTTTTTCTACCTTTTATTTTCATTTTCATATTTTTACGGATTCTATCTTACTTTTTGTATACTATTCATTTCCCCTACTGTTTTCCTCCTTAAATAATGTCATAAAATCTACGTACGGCAAGAATCTTGAAAATATGAATAGAATCACATATAGTTTTTCGATATTGATTATATATATAAATTAATACAATATTGAAACATATTTTAAGAGGAAGCGGTCCAGCTCCGCAGGTGACCGACCCACTCTTCTTTATGAAAGGTCTCGAGTTCAATATTCAATGGAGTGAGTTTGATCCTAATTTACCCAGACCCTATCCCCGATCCTCGGGGTAAAAAAAATCCAAACATATTATAAACTATTCCATATATAATACTGATCAATGCACATGATTGACAAAAAAATGTTCACCCCAATTCTAACATTTCTTTTGAGTTTCGAGTTTCGAGTTTCGACCTAATACATGTTCAGTTCAAAATTCAAATAAAGAGTAATGAATGAAGTGAGAAAAAATTTTGCCATCCACATAGCGTACATTATTAGTCCGTATTGTAACTGATGAAAATTTTCGATTGACTTATGAAAATATCATACTCCCTAGCATTTTTAATACTCTCCCTAGCATTTTGTGTGAACTTTGATTACATTTTTTATACTCAACCACAATCATATATTTTTATTTTATTCTCACTTTTATAAACTTGGGTCTGAATTAAACTGGAAACTACTCCGTATTTATATGTGGAATGTTGTAAAATTTTAATAAATTTTTGACATATTTATTTAGATACATAAATCCTAAACCTAATACTTCCGAACAAAGCAGCTGCCTGAACACAGAACAAAGCTCCGTTTAGTTTATCCAATATAGGTAGTATATTAATATATACTCCGTATAATAACAATTCAATATCCCCTAAAGAAGATCTGGTGCACCAAGATCTCTCGGAAATTTCACATCTTTCAGATTTTCATTTTCTTTTTGAGAGTTTCATTTTTCATATCTGAGAAAAGGAAAAGACTTTATTACTCAAAACGTAGTAGATCTCAAGGCATTTCCTCTTCATCTGGGAACAAGGAACTTCTCAACATCCCGGAAGTTGTTCTCCATGCCATGATGTTGTTGTTCTTGAACTGGATTCTTAAACTACCAGCAACATTTTCAAAAAGCTAGGCTTCTCCATGAAATCTTTGACATCGTAGTAGTATATCTCATTTTCTAAGGTCTCGTGTCACTCATCCCTTGCTCTTGAACACAGTTTGCGCCAGTGCCTTTACCATTGTATTTCAAGTGGCTTACGCCGGCGGTGGAGCTGGTGTAAGTTTCAGTGAATTTGTCTTGCTTGATTCTTGATTGTTGAGGTAGCTGTTAGTAGTTACTACGAATTTGTTAAAGTTGCCGGCGGCGGCAACAGACCCAACGGTGAAGTCCTTGCCCACTGATTGTTTTTTGCCGATGCTGTTGTACCGTCATCGGTGGTGGGAGTGAATTATGGGCAGGCTTGGACATTTAATGACTCTGACGGCTGGCTCACACAATGGAGAAGAGGGACTTTATCCTACGGATAATTGTATGACGTGATGGACTTTTGCCTGTATTTGATAAAGATGTTTTTGAGCGGGAAAGCGGCCAAGAATTCCACTTCTTTTTATATATAGATAGATTAAGGAATAGGTACGTAATACTTAGAAATTAAGGGGCGGGGGATCCCTATATGGATTTTAATAGAATTTAGGATTTCTTCAAAATATGGGTGTTCTCGATTTGGATTCTAATAGACTCTATTAGAATCTAAGTATCCCCAAACATTCCATGGATTTCACTAATTATGCATTTCGATGTATCTCGAAATATGTATTTTGATGGATTGAGATACCAAATAGAGTAACTCAATTATATTCAACAACAATCTCACCAGCATTCCTTGGATTTCCATGGACTTAAATCGCCAGTCTTGCTTATACTGCTATTCTTGTGTTCTTACTATATTTTTGGTTCTTTCATCTTCGAGGCTACACTCCCTCCGTGATAAGGGATTCACGTAAAACTTTCCATTCGTTCTCCATGTTCTTTTGCGCTTTATTTTCATCTCTCGCATCCCTTGTTTCTGGGCTTCGCATGTCTCTCATAAAATGGAAAAGATTAGTTCTTAGTTTTGGTTGAGTTTGCAACCAGGAATTCTCTACCGGAAAAGATTTTTTCCCGGCAGCCTGCCAGATTTCTACCGCCGCCGTCAGACTGTCCTTGCTACCAACGGACTACCTTGGTGCAACAGAACGGGGGGGGGGGGTTGATTGGGTTAATTAATTTCCGGAGTTCATCGCCGCCACCTGAATATGCCGCCGACCGCTGCCGCAGTGCTACCGCCACCGACGGATTGTCTTGGTTTTGCAAGGAAACTACGGAGGAAATTATTTAGATCAAATAATTAATCAAATAGAATTGTGGGTAAAAAAGGTAATGTTAGTCTTATTTAGAGAAAAACATACATGTAGTGCTGTTTTGGGAAAAAAGCTTGAGTTTTGGTCCTACGTTGGACAATTTCACTTAAATTACGAAAATCTCATCGACTGTATAGTGTACCATCGTACAACCGGTTGTACGGTATACGAACTCGAAGAATTAGTGTAACCTCCACAAGCTAGCCATGGAGAAAGCCTAAAATGGGGCTTGGGTCCAAGCTAAGCTAAGTATACCCACAGGTGAGTAACCATGGTGAGACGGAGCTGATTTTACCAAGGGCCGGACTGTTATAGGGAGCTCCAACATCCGGCCGCCGTCCCACTTCATACTTCCGACACTCGTCCAAGGCGAAAGCTATGGGCTGAATGTTGGGTCTGGATTGGTTATGGAGAGGATCTCCAGGTGCTCAGAATGTTCTTTGACTGCCCAAGCTGCTTATATTGGCTTGCCGGAGTTTATAGGTTGTCTAGGATGTCGGCGGTTAGTGTGTTTGAGATTTTGATTGCCGGGGTTTCGTCAGATGATCACGTCTAAGCCAAAATTGTGTTATTGGAGACCGGGTCGCTTAATGAATTTGGAAGCACCCGTTTTAAATGAAAAATTGAGGCCCCATATATGAATAAAAACAAAATCACATATAATAACAACTCACATAATTTACATAGTTCAACAAAATTATTCGTGTTCAAGTGTTCGATAGGAAAAAACATGATTTAAAATAACTACATATAAATATTATACTTCATCCGTTCTTTTTAAAATGCAACGATCGACTTTTCACGTTTGCCAACGCGCAGGTTTGATCATTAATTTCCTTATTAGTTAAAAAAACTTATAAAATCAGATTTTGAAAATTTAGAATGAGATGAATTTACAAATATTTTTTATAAATTTAATTTATAATACATTAATAAACAAAATAGAGTCAAAGTAGAACATGTGAATAGTGGGAAAAGTCTAATGTTGCATTTAAAGAAGAATGGGGGAGTATAATATAACTATATTGTAATACTAATATTAATAAAAATTTGGGACCCCAATTTGTTAGGCCATGTTCCAAATAACCTATTCAACTTGCTAAAAAACGGCCCTGACGGGAGATTTTGGCGGCAGATATCCTGCAGGGGCTTCGCCGGAAGAGATGACCGGACTGGTCTCCACCGACATCACGCGTTAGTTGTTAACTGGGACAAGTCACTTCTGTCTGCTTGGGACTATGCAGCAGTTACTGTAGCAGTTTGATTTCTGGTTTGTCGCCTTCATGTGCGACGCTGGAATGGATTGAGATGTTGGTTCGAAATGGTGGGCTAACCCGGGTGAAACCCTAGTGTTTGGCCTTTTTATCGACATTGGGCTGCCTACTGGGCCTCGCGTCCTGGGAGCTTGCTGATGGATAAATGGAAGGCCTTTTGGCCTGGATATTACTAGAAAAAACAAAAGACAAAAATGTGACATGTTTTTCAAATTTCCTGAAATGTGACCTAACATTACTATTCACAGTGACTTCGCCATCACAGTGACCCGCCGCCACAGTGACTGTCCACCGGCCAAAGTGACTCCGCACAGTGACACCTCAGTCGGAAAATTTTCTGGCAACAAAACGACAGTTGTGAATCTCTGACCACAATGACCTGCCGGCTACCACCGCGGGTCACCACCATCCCAACACTGCCCCTCACCACCCAGTCTTCATCCCGCACCCAGGTTATAGTCTCCCAACCCTTGCCCAGCCCCTGAAGTCCCCAAACCTTCCCAGCCCCTGCGCAGATTTTTCAACCATTATTAGGCTGAGAGTACAAGATAATCGCACTTCAATTATACTTTGTAATATTGAAATAGAGAAAAACATATATACATCAAGATAATGGAGTCGTCCTGTCTTCAAAAAATAGGAGCCATCCACATGATGGGCTCACATAAGCATTAATTTTGAACATCATCACCCTTCACCTTTGCATAGTAGGATGTCCGGTGACGCCACCGGTATAGAAAAAATTAGTCGTGGTCAGAATGCCAAATGTTACTTGTAATTACTCATAGGTAAGCCATCTATGTAAGACTTCACAAATTAAAATTAAAGTTCCCCTCATATATTTGCACTTTTTGGGCTCACCGTGCCTTATGTGATCACTTGCTAGCTATATATTTTGTTGTGTGAGAAAACCGATCGAGAGAGATCGAAAAACACATCCTAGCTAAAATCAAATGGCCTTGAAAAACTGTTAGCTTTAACTAACTTTGAGCTAGGAACACCTAGAATTTCTTCCGGGCCCCCCATAAAAGAAGTAATTCCCCCAAGCATGATTAGAACCTCCTCGTATATCATAGCAATTGGGATGGTCAGCGGTAACTTTAAGATTAGACAAGGGAACGAGAGAGTTATCCCAATCCACCACTTGCAAGTTTCGAAAGTAAGAAGCTTTTCCGAACCCCTCTCCCGAGAAGTGTCCGCTCCCCATTTGTGTTGCTGTGTGAAGGCCGGCGGCCATTCGGTTCACAACTTCTCCTCCGAATTGTATCATGCTTCCACCGCCCTTGAGATGTGTAAACAACATCGAAGGCCAATACCCTACTAATATCCTTGATCCAAATTGTAGCCACCAATCCCCACGCTTCGGATCCTGTACACCAAATTGTTGGATAGTTCCTATTCATCAAACTTCAACATAAACATACATAACAATTCTCATCTACATAAAACCACTGCGCCAAAATACACTGAAATTTGGTGGTCATAAACTAAATAACATGCCAAAAACATTTCATCAAAAAAATTCACCGAATAAGCCTTCTAATGGGCAAGTTCAGACGGTATTTTCTTATATAAACATATACATATGTATATCCATATATGCACAGAGTGTGGATCAAATAAAAAAATGTTCTTAGCACGTGAAAAGTGTGACCAAATACATTTATAGTCACCTATATTACACATATATATGGTAAAGCTACTAACTTTTACGATGTAAATAATATGTGGTGACAATTGAATAAAAAGGTGAAGTGTTTACAAATGTGAAAAATGCACCGCATGAACAGAGAAGTGCATTGTAGCGCTACAAAAGTTAATATTTCACATTTTACTCATTAAGACCCTTTTTATTTGATACCTAGCTACCATATACATGTCTGTAGGGGTGGGCAAACCGGTTTACGTTTTGGTTTTCTTCGGTTTTGATTCGGTTTCGGTTTATCGGGTTGGGAGAATTTGTACCAAAGTAAAACTATTTGTGTTTCGGTTTGGTTTCGGTTCGGTTTTGGTTCGGTTCGGTTTGATGTTCGGTTTGCCAAAGTGAAAAGTATTAGGTTTAATTTAGTTCAATTTGATTCGTTTTCTTATGTTTATTATAATTTTATTTGACCAAGTTCTTATATTTTAGAATTAGAAATGAAAGTAATAATCCGTCTCATCTTCCTTTATTGATTATTAAATAAAATGTAAAAGGAAATAAACGATAGAAAAAGAAATAATTAAATATTATGAATTAAAACTTCTAACATCTTTTCGATCACTAGAAAAAGATTCACTACTCACAAAAAATAAGATTATAGTTTATTAGCATTATAATACGGAGTATCACATAAAATATTTTAAAAAAACTAAGGGAGTCAGTGGTACAAATGTTGTAGTGTTCACAAATTTATTCAAATAAATCATGTAAACAGCATAAATGCAATCTGATATTGTTATAGCCAAACTTAACAAATACAAATATGTCGTATTAGCTAACTTTGCCATAATGAATGCATGAAATGTGTAAAAGTTAAAATGATATTATGTTAAATATGTAATTTTCATATCTAAATTGTTTATTGATATCTTAAATATGAAGAGTGAAGATAAATACAAAGTGTGTGTGTATAAGTTGTTCGGTGTTCGGTTTACGGTTTTTCGGTTTTAAATCAGATCAAACCAAACCATTTGGTTTGAGCAAATTCTTAACAAACCCAAACCAAACCACCACTTTTCGGTTCGGTTCGGTTTGGTTGGGTTAAACCAAACCATTTTGTCCACCCCTATATGTGTGTGTGCATGTATCAATGCATGTCTATCCATTTGTATATGCTTGGCATGCAGTAATATACTTTAAAAATGACAATATTTTCCAAACTTGTTTGACAGTAATTAGTTAATTACTCCTATTTAAGAAATAAAAACATGATAGTTCTGTTTTGGAATTCTCAAACGTTTTTTACTCCTATTTCGGGAATTTTCCCTAGTTATTTCAATATTGAATCTCATGGTTGAGATGTACTCCATATGGATATATTAGACCGTTATGTATTCAGGCATTACGTCACATTGGTTTAGGGGTCTAGGAGGAAATTGGCCAAAGAGAATGAAACTGTTACTTAAGCAATGATTGGAGTATATTTTGATAAATAGTCCTAATGAGTTTGTAAAATAATAGTGTCATTGATCATAATTATTACAAATATCAATGTTTTTAATATACGGTAATCAAATTATCATTTAATAGTGTTAGTTATTTTCAAAATAGAAATGAGAATCTTTAATTGGAACGTCTAAAAAGGGAAGTAAGAACCTTAAATTGGAATGGAGAGACTACTATTTAGCTTTCCTAGAAATACCACCTAACGTCCCGTATGTGGGTCTTACCACTCAGGCCTCCTGCAATTTATGATATTTTTATTTGGACTAGGTTCAATCTCAAACTAGCCCTTACTAGAATAGATCACACAAGACTAGAATCAAACAAATCAGACCAAGCTTCGATAGTTATAAAATAAACAGGGACCAAATATCTATCGGATCATCCCAGACCAGTTCAAACTAAACCAAGTCATGAAATTTCAATCCATACAAAGAACATATATTGGGTGAACAGTCATTTAGATTCAACATTGTTTGTTGACCGGAGTATTAGAGACCAATGTGGACAAAGAAGAGATGAGTTACTAATTAAAACACTTTTGACATTAATCTACTCCTTAATTGTATGAAACTCCTTTTTACAAATATTTTTATTTAAAGTAATGCGAATGATGTAATGTTTACCTTCCAAATTAAGATGCTGATATCATATTGACGTCCACCATAAGAGGACGTTGGGGAGATGGCAGCTCCAATGGATATTCTATTGTTAGTTTGAACAAAGCCTGAGCACAAAAGGTTATAGCACCCTGTTGTTCTATATGCATCACTCTGTAAATTCAATTGTGGCATTAAAATTATTATACAATGAAATAACGCGGGGAAACGAAATAAGTTCAATATATGAACATTTAAAATTATAAAAGTTATAGAGTTTTAATTAAATCAACAATTTTGAATTTTGATATATTTATTTAATCTTCAAGTTTAATTATTATTCCCGGTCACGTTATATATAAATAACTGTATAAAACATTTGTACAATTTTACTAAACATTTATCCTTTTCCGGTGATGGTTTTTGTAAATATGGAGGTGATGGTTTTTGGGAATGTGCAATGTCTCAAAATTAAATTTAAAGAAATTGATCTTAATATATGATTTAACACATAAACAAAGTTCACATGTAAAAGCTAAGTACTTATGAAAGGGTAATATTTGAAAATATAAAAATTCTCAATTATAAATCAATGAGTCATATTTAAGAATAAAACAATATTGATCTGGTTTGTGTACTTTTCTACGTTTTAGTCTTATTTATGAAATTTTCTCATTAATGTAACAATATATAAAGACTTAAAGAAGTTTAATAAATAAATCTCATTGACTAAATATAAAGATGACATGGTTTATGTTTGATAAACATAAATGATAGTCTTCTTGCTTTGCTCAATTGAAAAACATTTCTAAAATCTTTTAGTTACATGTTTCTACAATACTTTTTGTAGTTTTTGTAGCTGTTTTGAAATTAGAGAACATTTTTCCATAAGTTACTGTAAGCTAGTCGTTTATAAGAAAAACATCTTTACTTTTAACATTAATTAGCTACAACAATACATTAATTAGCTACAACAATTTGTTACATAAAAATGAATATATGATTACATCAAAGACCCAATTTTTATGACACAACAACAATCTTTTTCTTTTATTATCTTTTCACTTATCAAACTCTAATCATTATTGAAAATCTTAAAAAGCATAGTTCAACTAATTGACTGAGCATAACATATGCAAAACACAATTAATTAATTGTGCTACATTATTCAAGGAAGTTTCAATGATTTCGGCATCAGATACACCGTACCATATTACAAATTAAAACGAATATATAGAATTAGTATTCCATTAAGTGTTTTCGCTTATGTAACATCATATCGTAGCATTTGTCAGTTGAAAAAAACATTATATTGTACGGAGTAGTATTTTGTTCTCCTGAGTATGTTCTAACGCCTTTCTTGATTGTGCCAATTGCAAGGATGTTAGGGTCAAGATTGGTACTCAAAGTTGCATAAAAAGTGTCAAATAAGTCCTTATATAGGAGGCTCTGTCCGGCCGTCGCCATTTGGGGCGGTTCATGGTGTAATTTTTTTACGAAAATTTTTGAGTGTCTTATTCATTAAGTCTAGTTTACTCATACCAAATTTCATCTAAAAAGTCAACCGGGAAGGCATTCAAATGAATTCGTGAAGATAATTGTGCAGTAAAAAGCGCAGTTATCTTCAAGAATTCATTTGAATACCTCCCCGATTGAATTTTTAGCTGAAATTTGGTATGAGTAAACAAGACTTAATGAATAAGATGCTCAAAAAAATTCATCAAAAAATTCCAACGGGAACCGCCTCAAATGGCGACGTCCGGACAATAAGGACTTATTTGACCCTTTTTATGCAACTTCGAGTACCAATCCGACCCTTGCAAGTTTGCGACCATGGTGCTTATAGGCACTGATGGAGTATATGAGCTTGGAATTACGGCCCACATACTCCCGGACATACGGACGGTCAAAACCGACATGAAGAACATAGAGCCTAGATAGATGGCCCAGTCCAGGCTGAAGAGATAGATTTCCTCTTTGGTTCATCCCCTCGGCACTAACACCTTGGAGGAAAAGCACAACAGAAGGTCTCTTCATCAGCACCTTAGCAGGTTAGGACACATGTAAACGGCCCATGATTGTAATAGGGCCTCCCAGGCCCAAGACCTGGGGGCTTAACCCACCTGGCCCCTATAAATACCCCTCTTGGGGGTAGTTGTATGGGGTTGGAAATCACTTATTACAAGTTCTTTCTCTCTCTCTCTCTCTCTCTCTATATTAGCTCTCCCTTCTCTCTAAGCACTTCGGTGTGATCAGGAAGCTATCAGGAACAATCAAACTTTCCTCTACTAACTTTCTCCTTTGGAAGAGTCATGGTTTCCGGATGCTCAGTTATCATGTTTGTTTTTCATTGTTTATGTTTTTACTTTTTAGTTTTTACTGTGTTATTGTAGTAATTACACATTTGCGGTGCAACCATTTTTTCTAGTTTATTGTAATATGTTTAGAGTAGAGTATCCTGAGCACGAATTGGTCAGGAACAAACAAATGATCATGGAGGAATCCCAAAAGTTGAAGGAAGGTGCAAGTGAACAAGCTAGATAAAATGAAGATATCTTGATTTGTTCATACATATGATCGGATATATGCAATCCCAATCGAGTATTGACACAACCTAGATATCAAATCAGATCAAGAAGAATAAATAAAATTGCATGCAATAAAATATCGCATCAGATTTACCCGCATACCCGATCGAGTGTATTCACATGCCCGATCAGGAATGATGCATTTGCGAACTGATTGCATTGATTTTTTTAGTGTTTAAGTTTTTACTTTTAATTAGTACCCCCCCCCCCCCCCCCCCCCCCGTCCCGCTAAGATTGTCCCATTTTACCTTTTCGGGAAGTCCCACTAAGATTGTCTCATACCAAATTTGGTAAAGATTGTGTGGTTTTAAACCATTCTTACTTTTCTCTTACTTTATCAATTTAATATCAACCACACAAACTCACTTTTCTTAATAGTTGTGCCACTTTCTCTCGTCCCAATTTTAGTGGGACGGAGGTAGTAGTTTTTACAATGTGTTGTTGTTGTAATTGCACATTTACGGTGCAACCTTTTTTATTTTTCTAGTTTATCGTAATTTATTTGTTTTAGGAGATCTTGAGCTTAAATAAGTTAGTGTACGACAAAGAAGTATGGAAAATATATTACAAGATCAAAGGAATGTCCGGGGGAGCAAGAAATCATGCAAGAAATGTGATTTGGTGACTTACTCAGCCGGGTATACTCTTTACCCGGTCGGGTATAAAGAGAAAAATGAAGCTGTTGCGAAATTACAATAATACCCGATCAGGTATGAACCTATACCTGGTCGGGTATGAGTTCACCTGAACAAACAGATGTGCTGAAAAACACAAAGACGGTGGGAAATATTTGGTTTTGACCGATACCCAGTCGGGTATGTACCTATACCCAGTCTGGTATCCAGAGCACGGTGTTGAAAACACCTATAAATGACACACTTTTCCTTCACATTTATTCATCTCTTCTTCTATATACTTAAGCTCAACTTAGAATACTATTTTCTTTATATTTTCCTAGCATTATTTAGTCTCCAAATGAGGAGTTAAACTTTCATTTCTTGGTTTTGCTCTTGAATCTTGTTGAATGTTAAAGTTGTGAGTTATTTTCTTACTTCTTCTCTTGAATATTAATTCTTCCCTTATTTTATCTCTACATTTGGCATTGGGGTGTGTTGCTAAATGACAATTAGTTAAATCTCAATATTAATTACTACTAGAAACGATGAATGAACCGATGGTTAATCACTGATGGTTTCACAGGTAAGTAACTTCGAGTTATTAATGCATGGTTTTGGTTAATAGCTTCAAGAGTGATTAATTGTGTTGGTTAAACCGATACCGTTTTGTTGAGGTTATCAAAAGAGTTAAGAGATTAATTGCTACTATCAAGTCGGTATGTGGCGGTGGTCTATACATGGCTAATAGTAAGGGTAATTAATGAACGGTCGTTATTAACAACTACCATCGATGGATTTTAAGTACTCCTCGATTGAGTATTCGAGAGGAGATAAGTTATAGATATAACCGGGATCAACAAACATATCAACAAGTGGAAAGTAGAAACTCCAAGTCTTTTATCTCATTAATTAAAATCATATAAGTCGTTCATCTTAATTAGTGTTTTACTTATTAAATCAAATCAACCTTAAACTCCCCTTTAATTACTAGTTTCATAAAAGAAAAGTAGCCTTTTTCCTGTGAATAGGAATTTTACTACGTTATACTACGTATAATAAGTACAAGTATTGATTTTATTTTGAGACACACAACGATTTTATGATGTCACGAACCTTCAGGGATACTACCAAGGATACACACTCAGGTATCTTCTATACCCGGTCGAATATCCGACCCAACATCACCATTTCCCCTATACAAGCACCCATTTTCTTCCCATTTGGAATCCATTAGTTCTCATACCTAAGTTGATTAGATTAGTATTTTTTCATATACTTCTTGTTTGTTATCTTGAAGCTTGTTGAGTGTTAAGTTGTTTGTTAATTTCTTAATTTCTCTTCTTAACTTTTGTAATTAAATCTCTATATTAATGTTGGGGGATTGCTAAGTGATGATTAGTTGATGTTTTAACATTAATTACTACTAGAAATTATCAATGAACCAGTGATTAACCGTTGTTTATTTTACATGTAATAATTTTAGATTATCGATGCACATGTCTCATAGTTAATAATCTAAGCGGGAATGATTATATTGATTAAACTGAAAACTCATTTGTGTTAAGAGATTAGATGGTACTATCAAATCCGTATAAGGCGTTTGTTCAATATTTGGGTAATAGTAAGACTTATTAATGAATTGAAGATACTTCACGATTGAGTATTCAAGAGGGGATTGTTAAAGAAATAAACGGGATCAATAAACATTTCAACAAGTGAAAAAAAGTAAAACCAAGTCTTGATCACATAATTCATTCATCTTAGTGTTTGTAATATTCTAAAGTCATACAAGTTTAAACTCCCCTTTATTAACATTTCACACGAGAATAATATTTTTATCTGTACAAACTCTACTACGGGGGGGTGTTTGGATCTGATTTTTAAAACTGTTTATGCTCCTTCAGGGAACTGGAGTAGAAGTTGGAGTGCTTGGGTGAAAGTAAAGAAGTGATTCTGGTGCTCTAATTTACTCCTATAATCAGATTTTTTAGAAGTTGGGGCAGACCAGCTTCTGAAAACCGGTTTGGATTATGGTTCTGCTTTAAAAAAGAAGCAGAAGCAGAATCAATTCCAAACCTCGCTACGTACGCAATATTGCTATAGTTAGTGCAACTATTGAAATTCATTTTCATCCACAAGCGACTTTAGTTTCGTCAAATTTGGAAAGACAATAAGTTTCTTTGTGAAAAATCTTATTGCAAGTTCTTTTTGAGCTTTTTGAAAGGATATGACACAAACACGTTCTACTAACGAGGTCACACATCAAACAAACCCAGAATTAAAACAAGAACCACCAAATAAAGCGGCTTTTGTAGATGTTTTACACACTTTTAAGTGTTTAACAATTCTTGGTTTTAGTTATTGAAAAATTATAAAAGCGAAGAATTGTAAGTTGTAACCATTTGTATAAAGCTAACAGCTTGATTTTCGTTTTGTTTAGAGCATCTTGAATGCTAAAACGTTAACGGTACATACGTGGCATGAGAAATAACCAATTAAAATACAATAAGTAAAATATCTCTCTCCTTATCTGAAGGATCTTACATCATTTTGGTAAGTTTTTCTTCACAATGTCAAGCACAATGTCTAGATATAGACATTGTAGTTGACATTGCAGACAAAAACTTACCAAAAACACATAAGACCGTGGAAAGAAGGAGAGAGAAATATCATAAAATCAATATTTTGTGTCTATATCTATCATGTCACATGTGCACCGTGCACATTGTAACATTGAAGATGCTCTTAATTTAGCAAATTATTTTGACTAGTTAACATCAAAACTTTCAGACTTTCCGTCAATCGAACTCACTCAATAGAATTTTGAAATAATTACATGAATATGACCAAAATAAAGATGATTTACAAAAATATGACTAGTTACTAGAGTAGTAATGAAATCATAGTAATTCATGTTCAAGTTTTGAACTTAAGTTACTACAACACCATGTTGTAGTAATGAATAGTCATATTTATGTAAATAAGTTTTATTTTAGTAATATTCTTGTAAAAAACCCATAGATTTTTATAAAGGTCATAAATTTGGCACTCCAATTCACAATCTCTACCTATCACATAGAAAAATTGTTCTAAATAAGAGTAAAAATGTTTGTGTATTCTAAAATGGAATTGTCATGCTTTTGTTTTCTAAATTTGAGTAATTAGTGTAATGTTTTGACAATATTGAACTCTAATTAAACATGACAGTGTTTTTCAAACTTGATATTTATTTGTTTTCATTTTATTAAATATTCTTTCATCTATTTTCATTTTATTTGTCTTTCAATAAACTAATGGAAATCCAACTCTAATTTAAACTGTTCCTATTTTATTTATTAGGAGTAACAAATTTTATGAAATTCAAATGCGATATTTTGGTTTCATTAAATTCTACGTACTATAGGTAAAATAGAAACATTACACCTAAAAGTGTTCCCCGAAAATGTGTATATAAATGTAATTAATACGATAGTATAATACTTCCTTCATCCCATCTTATCTATTTCATTTTCCTTTTTGGGTTGTCCCAAAATAAATGTCACATTTTCCTTTTTAGAATAAATATATGTCACTTACCTGTTTCACTTTCAATCACATTTTTTATTTTTTCAATCAGTTTATTATAAATTGTGCTAAAATCAAATGAGATCACTTACTGTCCAGTATGTAAAGAACCTCGGACGATTGTCCCCATATATCTCTGGACTAATCTGTTTCCATATTAAATGATACAATTAATTAGCTCCGATCCCATTCATACCCAACTCCGGCCGGTAACAATAATAATAAGACATAACACGCAATTGAATACCCGGCCTTTACTTTGATATTGAGAGGTAGATGAAGATGCAACCGGTGCCTTAAATAACATTATGCATGGTGATTGATCCTTGCGAATACTGAAAGTGACATTTATGTCCGATCAAATGTGTATAGATAATTGGGAAAACTCCCGAGATATGATCAGCTAAAATGTTTGGAGTCTAGACCATCAAAATAGTTATAGTATTATGTATTAACATAATCACATTTATCGTCATTACTAACAATATTTTTCAATCATAGGAGTAACGACTCTTTTTTCGATAATAAAACATACGATAGTAATATTTTGAATTCTGCTTTCCAGAACGTTTTTATTCTTATTAAAGACAATTTCCCTAGGTAATAATGATACATCTACGGGCGGTTAAATAATAGACCCTTTATGCCCTTAAGGTTAAAACAAGATGGCTGGTGCAATTTTCAAGAATAATAATAATAAATTATTAAATACTACCATATAAATATTGTCAAATAAGATACTACGTAATAGATAAATTTAATAGATAAATGTAATGGGACGGATGGAAAAAAGAAAATAAAACTAACGTAATGAGATGGAGGGAAGTGTACATTAATGATGCTCTATGTCATTTCTAGTTGTTAGGCCTGGCTATAGTATGAGTTGAATCGAAAGATCGTGAAAAGTAAAATATAACCCCATTCTTATGATTTTTAATTAGTACTAACTTATTTGGGTTATGTTTAATGGAGTACATATATTAGATCAATTAATATTACTTCGTATAACACTATTGGTATGAGATAGCCATCGTTTTGCAGCTCTTCAATTCTAGACTAGTTGTACTAATGAAATACTATCCCATCCCTTAACATTAATACTCCTTCCATTCTTTTTTAGTTGCAATAGTCAATTTTTGTACATTTGCCAATGCACACATTTGACTGTAAGTATATCTTAATTTCTATTAATAAAAAAATATTAAAAAATCAGATTTTGAAACTTTGTATTATTGAGATGAATTCAAAAACATTTTAAAAAATAAATTCTATAAAATAATAGTGTAAGATATAATCAAAGTAGATCATGTGAACAGTGCAAAAAGTCAACATGTTGCGATTAAAAAAACGGGGCATAGTATAAGAATAGGTGGTGAGGTAATTATTAAGAAAAATAGATTTACATAATTGATGTTTAATTGAAAAAGTGAATAAAATGAGAACCATTTACAACTACACAAATGTAATCAAGTTTAATATGAATATACCTTAATGTAATAGGTCCAAAAAGTGAAAATGAGGCAATTGTAGAGAGATGAGGAGTATTTTTTTTTGGGTAAAATCCAGGTACGCATCAAATGACTAGAACATGTTTAATTGTGCACCACACATTATTCATATTATTTCTAACTCACTTTTTTCTGTCATGCCTATTAGTTTATTTTTACTTTTAGTGTGTTTTTACTTGAATTAGTTTTTTTTAATTAAAACTGATTGTGTGATTTATTTAAGTCTGATATTTTTTATATGTTTTAGGCTATGTCCGGCATAATTGAAGTGATCTTGTTTGGTCGAAGAGCGGAAGAAAGCTTGAGGTGAAATAATTGAATTGTAATAAAACGCTATGTAGGGATTAGGGAGCGTTTATATTCCGTCGAAACTTTCCAAACTTCGATTCTCATACGGGGGTTAATCCCTCCACAGTATGCACCTACGTATCCATTCAATCATTTGGTTTGAACATGACCTGATTCTATTTATTTTTGTACTATATCAGTCTTTATATTCTAGTTAATCGTATATATGGTCCCTCAGTTATTCACGAAATTAAAATCTCAGACCTGTATTTCTGAGATTATAAATGACATCCCTCAATTGTCCAAATTGTTGTAAATGTGGTCATTTCAATAGTGAAATATTTTCTCGCCCACATTGTATATTTCACCCCTCAAAAGGACCACATGTACAGTATTTTGGACAATTGAGGGGTGGCATTTACAATTTACGAAACACAAGTCTGAAATTTTAATTTTGTGGATAACTGAGAGACCATATACATACATGATTTCCCTTTTTATATTTGATCGAGCCTGATCCCGTTCAAATTAGATCAAGTTTGGTATAATCTGAACCAAAAATTAATGCGGAGTATAATTAACTGAAAACATCTTTAAGTTTCTATGAATTAATAATGTCTTATTTATTAGTTTCTTAAGTTCTTCTTTTCCTTTTTTATTCATTGTATCATCGTATGACTAGATGATCGAGCTCCTTTTATTGAGCACATGCACTAATTTTTGGTAATTCTAGGCGGCCAAGCCGGGTTACAATGTTTAAATACGGAGTACATCATAATACTAGCTCTCTCGATTCGTATTATCGTTTATTTTATTGTATCATTGTATGGGGTAATTGAGTACGTACCTTTATTCAATTAGTTTCACCGACTGCTTGTTTTTTTAGTACAATTTCAAGTATATAGGAAGCTTGATGTGGCTTCACGTTACCAAAGAAAAGGTATAAAACTATAAAATGATGATCATTTATTTCGACGAGAGAAGATGGATTGATAGCCTTCCGTTTCATTTAACAAAGTAGCTTGTTTTAGATTGTCCTGAAAATATGAACATTTTCTTATATGGAATTCTTTTAATTTTTTACTTTCTATATTAGGATGTTTTTTTTGGACAATGGCTAATTTGGTCTGGTCCGATCTTGTCTGATCTGTTTAAGTCTGAACTGATCTGATCTGATCTGTTTAAGTCTGGTTTGTTTAAGTCTCAGCTATTCTGGTAATGTTTGGTCTCTGTGTATTTTATAGTTGTCCAAGTTTGGTCTAATTTGTTTAAGTTTTATCTGGTCTGATATGTTTAGAGCTGGTTTGATCTGATCTAATTTAGTCTATTTCAATATGCTCTAAGACAGAAAACAATCCCAAAAAACATCCTTAATCATTTCATTCTTTAGTTTTTGCCGGACACTTCTTACTATTTTTTACTTTTTAGCTTAAAAGTTGGAAATCGTGAGATAATAATCACCTTTATCAGAGGACGGAAGTAGTAAGAAACAATAAATTAGGGTAACCTAACAAAAAATGAAGGAAAAAAATAGAAAGATGGCCGGCCGGCCGGAGTTTTAACTTCACTACAGTAATAATAATTAGGGAGTAATATAAACATGCCTGCCAACCAGCTTCAATGCTGTTGAGATCGCCACCAAATGAACCGGAGATGATCCACATCTGCGACAAACTAAACTCTTGCGTGTTGGCCACATGAGGAGCCCACACGTTCATGCTCGCTTTCGCACCATAATATCGATCTCCATTTACATATCCAACTGCATGCTGTCCCACCCCCACCCAACCAAAAAAATTGGTCAAGCTATAAGTTAAAACAATTTTATTTTAAACCGAAAAATAAAACAAACATCCATCGTTTAATTTACGGAGTGTTTATTCAAGATCAAAATTAAATTGACTTAAAAAAACAAACTCAAGACATTTGTATATAGGCTTGAATACGTTTTAATCCTTGCAATATTTATGACACACTTTTTAAGTTCATTCAATCTTTTAGTTTTCATTCTTGTGATATCCACTATTTTTAGTTCATCCTTAACTTTGAAATCACTCTATGGAGAACAAATTGTTGGTTGCTTAAACCCCATTGTTAATTTCTTAACTCCGATATAATCATACGGAGGATGCCAGATTAGACAATATGAACACTTAAGGTACCACATTTTTGTTCACATGAAACAATTACTCCGTATAACGTTACAGTTGAATTAATTAAATCTCAATTAAAAATGATACAATGATTTGGACTAATAAAATGAATGGTAGGTACAGTATCTTATTTCTTAAATGGATACCGGGGTTGTCATCTTGTACGGGGATGGAACTTTTGGCAGGTTAAAATTACGTGAATATATTCCCATTTTTACCTTATTAGAACTAGATAAATAAAGTTTTGTAAATAAAGCAAAATTAATCATAACTTAAAAAATTAGTCATGCCTTTTAATTATTGTCAATGTTTTACTCCTGTTTTAAAAAACCGTTTTTATTTACGCCACTTGTCTTTCGTGGTCCAAGATCTTTTATTTTCTTGATCAGTTAATTTACTCAATTTCATTGTATTGGCTAATTTTAGTCTTCTCTATATATACGGAGTATTTATATAGCAACCACTTTCAAAATTACTTTTTGCGTGCGTCTATTAACTTTTGATCTAGTTTGTTAAGATGTCAAATTGCATATTTTAAATGTTAATACTGATTTATAAAATCAGGTATACATAACTTTTCCTTGTTTAAAGTCGTAAACAATATTTTGCGCATGAATTTAGGATTGGGGGAGTAAGTAATAAGATCCTATCTGCCCAAAGAAATTATTGACTTACGACTCAAAAAGCGCATTGACCACAAAAGTGAAGTGAGTGTCGTATAGTGGAAACCATCTGTGGCGCTTTGTCAAAATCTCTATCTTTTGACCCCCTTACCTATGCACTGACTCCCTCACTACATAGCCAAGGACATACCACTACAAATAAAAAACATGGGATTAACATCGATTTTTGGCATGAATTTTTTAAAATTGAAAGGATTTTTGCAGGTATATCATCAATTAATTCGTACCAAATTCGCGTCAATCCCATAATTTTTTTTTGTAGTGTATTCTACACCTGACTTCTTTCATGTTTATACCGAGTAAGTAGTATAATAAAGCACAAAAAAGAAAGAAAATAAAGTAGAGAATTGTTGACCACAAAATTAAAACGAGGCAAAAGCTAGGCTTTCATGAAAAAAGTTAGTCACATCAAGAAAAGAGGGAGTAGCAGTTACGTTACTATTAAACGAGTACTTGCTACTATACGTAGAAAATACCATTTGCACATACTCCATTATCTATATCATAAATATTTCCTTATATTACACATAATTCTTAGCTTGAGACAATGCAAAAAATATTGACAAATTTGTATTAATTATGTGTAATACATCAAACATTTTTGGGAAAAGGGGCAAATAAGTCCACGTACTAACAAAAAAGGGTCAAATAAGCCCTTATATTGAAGGCTTTGTCTGACCGTCGCCATTTGGGGAGGTTCCCGGTATAATTTTTTGATGAATTGTTTTTAGCGTCGCATTCAGTAAGTCTAGTTTACTCATACCAAATTTCAGCTAACAATTCAATCGGGAAGACATTCAAATGAATTATTGAAGATAATTGTGCTTTTAACTGCGCTGCTATCTTCAAGAATTTATTTGAATGTCTTCCTGATTGAAGTTTTAGCTGAAATTTGGTATGAGTAAACTACACTTAAATGAATAAGATGCTCAAAAAATTTCATGAAACAATGTCACCGGGAATCGCCCCAAATGGAGACGGCCGGACAACATCTCCTATATAAGGGCTTATTTGTCCTTTTTTTGTTAGTACATGGGCTTACTTGCCCCTTTTCCCAACATTTTTAATGCGTAGTATTCCCTCTATCTTATAAGACTTGGTTAAATTGATTTTTCTTTGATCAATACTAGTGGATTTTTGACAATGATTTTGAATGTAGTATTTGTGTGAAACTTATAAACTTTACTCTCTCCGTTCCGAAAAATTCTTCTCGGTTTGACTTGGATCGAAGTCTAAGAAAGTGAGAATAAAGTCGAAACGTATGAGTGTGATTGAGTGAATTTTGAAATGAATGAATGATAGTCACACAAACATTTCCAAATAGAAAAATGAAAAGAAAATTTTGAAACGTCCCAAAAAAGAAAATGAGAAGAATTTTCAAAGACAGGTGAGTATAATTTTGTGAATTAGTTTTAACATGCAACATTTCCATATAATTTTCATATTTTAAACAATTTCATAAAAAAAACATTATTTAAACATTATTGACCAAGAAAAGTTAATATATTCAAAAAAAAAATTGAGAGGAAATTGGGAGATGGATACTTCGTATAACGTATGAAAGAAAGTACGGTTTAATAGGTACTTCGTACTTCCTCCGTTCTTAAATAAATGCAACGGTCAATATTTCACACTTGCCGAGACATAACTTTGACCATTAATATAAATGATTTTATATTAGTAAAAAAAAATTAAAAAAATTAGATTATGAAAATTTACAATGAGACAAGTTTAACAATATTTTTTTTCATAAAATTATATTATTACATTAATAAATAAAACGTAGTCAAAGTAGAACATGTGAATAGTGTAAAAGTCAAAGTGTTGCATTTATTTAAGAACGAGGGAGGTAGTATTAGGTAACCTCGTGAAAGTTGGAGGTTGTGTCTGTTCGGAGGAAGCTCCGAATCGGTCCTTTCCTTCCGAACCTTCTAACCGAACTTGCCCTCAGCATCTCTTCTTCCCTCGTTCTTCTTATTGGCACTGTTCCTTCTGGACACGTTTCTCCTGTCGTCCTCCACGCCTGAAATTCTTCGAATTCTTCCTCCCCATTTTGCCCTTTCGGCATTTCCGGGTGATCATCCTACAAATTAATAATCCTGTCTATCATTACCACGTACTAGCTGCACAATCAAATAATAAATTGGTTTGGTGATGAACAACTAATTAAATTACCAGTGGTTTCTGACCCCTCAGCAGTGGATGATCAAATGCAGGTTGTTTGTGAGTTAATACGCAGTCAATGATATCACCATCAGGGCTCTGCATTTATTTTATGTATTTATACGTACACAGAAAATAAAGAAACAATAATAAGATTCACTTAGCTTGGATTTCAGTAATAATAATAATAATAAAGATTATTGTAATTAAGTAAGGAGATGGATCGATGGAGATGGGGGGAGTGCTGTACGTGCCTGTATTGTCTTGACAGCAGGCTTATTGATCATCATGAGGCGGGCTTTGATCATTTTCAACTTGCGTGAATGGTTGCCTGGCCGGAATGTGTGAGTGGCCGGAAAGCCCCCGCCGTCGTCTGCCGCGGTCGAGCATGCCGGTCGAGGAACAGACAGAAAAAAGAGGACAAAAAAGGAAACGGTTAGGGAGATGTTTGAGGTAACGAAGACAGGGGATGCCGCCATGTCCGAACAACTATGCTGCGTGCTTCTGCACATTGACTTGATGCTGTCTGCTACCTCTTCCCTCAGCACCAAAAACAAACAAACCCACACAGAGACAACCACTCTGCTCTGTATTATATTCCGATCCCGATGAATAATAAAATCTTAGAAATTAAATGGCGGATGATCGAAACACCCAGCTACCTCTCTCCTCAATTTCTTACTAAATCTTGTTGGAAGCCGACCGAGGTTAATTTAATAATAACTTCACTCATGTGGCTTTCGATCGGGATAACATAATTACTGACTGGCCTGGGGTGGCCTGTGATCATTAACACATGCAAAGTAAGTTGTTAAAAATTTTACTTTTCAACTTTAAAAGAGAAGCTGTGATGATAGAGAATAAAAAAAGGGGCCACGACGCTGCCTGTAGTTTGCAGTCTCCAATGCAAGGACTACAATAACTTTTGCTTTTCAGGGTGAAATTGATCTTATTGGCAATAAAACATTAGAGAAGGGTTTCTTTTTAGTTTTTTTATTCACGTATATTGTATATACATACCATACGGAGTATTAAATTTGGGAAATGAAAACTAATAATCACTTTTTAGGTGTCTTCTTTCAATACTCCCACTTAACCGTAATTTAATCACATATTTACGTCTTATCTTCTTTTACCGGTTGATAACATATTATTCCTAGTTATTTTCTTTTCTTTACAAATTCTTCCAAAGGCGTTTACAACTTCTTCCAACTTTTCTAAGCTCTAGTATGAATTTTCATAGTAAACTAGTTTAAGAGCTTAAAGAAATGTGAACGAGCTAAGAATAAAGTGATGAATTAATACTTTATCTTTTGCAGGATATTGTGACATAAATGTCTTGATTGCACTAAGCTCACCGAGTCTTCTTCGTCGCATTACTTGAGTATTTATAGACTTGATGTATTTGAATATCTCCCGTTGGTTGAGGAGATTCAATCTTGAACGTTGATGCTTCAACTTGATCTTCTATCTTCAGCATGCTCTCTTTTTGGCTTCTTCAGTAGCCTGAGTCTCTTTTTGTTCTTCTCTTAAGCCCATGCTTACACTTGTGTTTAATAAGAGAGTATGGGTTGACTTACAAAAGTTTTCCAAGGTCGTAGCCCACTTGTTAAGTAGAATCCCGTGACTTCCTTTTTCAGCCAAATTGTAAAGTAACAATTGTTGATTTTACTTTAGCTTTTATTTTGAGTAATTTTTCTGGAATTCTTTTGACCCGGTGAAAAGTGAAAATAAGTGAAAATCAGTCAACTCTTTTGTACCTTTATTTCTTTTCTTTTGTTTTTGATACTTCTTCTTTTGTTTGTACTTTTCTCATGCATGCATATTTGAAATACAAAGTACGTGATGGATAGTCTACCCGGGGGTATCTTATCCAGGGGGGTTATTGCGGGAATAACTAGAGAGAAGTCAGAGCAAAATAGGAGGAGAGAGAGTCGATTTTATTAAATGAACTCGAGATGTGGAGTTGAGATGTAGGTGATGATTTACAAGGAGAAATGGGCTGCTATTTATAGCAGCAATAAATGCGATGAGAGTACACGTGTCAGTAATCCAGCGGCCGAAGGGTCACATCAGCCGGTTGGCACCGGCAGTGGTACGTTTACCGCATTGAATGCGGTTGGCGGATGTGACGTGGTATTAAATGCGGTGGTTGGCTGTCTCCAAAAGGAATCTTCGATGATTGAGCTAGTTCAGCCGAAGGCTCCTTGTGTAGTCGGGGGCTCCTTGTGTAGCCGAGGGCTCCATATGGTAAGGACCTTTGTGTGGCCGAAGGCTTGGTTCAGCCGAAGGCTTTCCTGATGCCGAGGGCATGAAAATGCCGAAGGCTAGTGTTTTCGCCCGTTTTCTCCCAGCAGCTTCTTATGCCAAAAAGGCTATCCTGTGAGTTCTGGAGCCTTCGGCCAAGGAGGCCGAAGGCATCCCAGTGTGTATTCTGAGCTATTTCGAGGTTTGGGCCGTTACACTTGGGCCTGAGTTGTTCTCTGGGCCCTATGGACTTGTGTAGGAGAAGTAGGAGTCTATGGGTCGGGGGTTCCTGGGCCATATACTCCACCAGTACGTTATCAAGTTTTGAGTCTACAATACATGCATCATCAAAATCAAGAGGGACCTAACACACGGTTTACTAAACGGTGCTCATTAAGACTCGCTTTAATAAGCGGCGCATAAAATAAGCAGTGTTGTAAGCTCGTGTTTACTTCAAAAGATTTAAAACACCGTTTAACATTAAAATGTCCAAAGTAACCGTATACATATATACACACACAAACATTCATGAACACAAATATATAATATAATATAATATAATATAATATAATATAATATAATATAATATAATATAATATAATATAATATAATATAATATAATATAATATAATATAATATAATATAATATAATATAATATAATATAATATAATATAATATAATATAATATAATATAATATAATATAATATAATATAATATAATATAATATAATATAATATAATATAATATAATATAATATAATATAATATAATATGTGGGGGTCACCTCGTATGCATACCTATATACCCCCAATTCCATTCCACACCTTTGACTCCTACCCTTACCATGACCTAATAACCCTCTACCCCCACGCTCCCCTACAACCCGCATATCATACTCATACCCCTAACCCCTACCCTACTCGTTGTTGGAACTAATCTTGTTATTAGTGCTAGATCATCAGTGTTAGTCTAATTTGGGTCAATTAGTTAATTAAGTTGCACATTAAGTAATTTGCATTTAGTGTTATTAAGTTAATTACGCATGCATGTTTAGCATGTTAGCACTATAGTGCGTAGTGGGTTAGTTACTCATGCATGTGTGTAGTGGATTGTAACCACCAGTACTACGTAGGATGTATTTTCATTGTTTATAAATTGAGAATGGGTGAATCAAAAGCTTTATTGCTTTGACCACCCCCAAGAGAAAACCATGAGTTCATTAGTCACACCATTCGTTGTTTTTTCTTGTGCATGTACGTACGCATGGAATGAGTTTTAGCATATCCATCATTATTATCTTCTTCCTCCTTTAGCAAATCCAACATTTGGTATCAGAGCCTTGTTTGTCGAGGTCCGAGTCTCCATCGTTGTCAAGCGGCGCCACGACGACGAAGAAAGGTAGGTTGCCCGGTAAGTTGCTCCATCGGCGGCAAGGAGGTGATGGCCAAGGTGCAGACGCCATTGCCGTGAAGAGATCGTCATCCATGTGTGAGTCGTCGACAAGATGCGGCATCGACGACAAAATGAAGGCGAGTCACAGGCGAGTTGCGTCACCGGTGGCGACCATGAAAGCGAGTCATCGGCGAGTTGCGTCACCGGTGGCAAACATGAAGGCGAGTCACCTGCGAGTTGCGTCACCGGTGGCGACCATGAAAGCGAGTCATCGGGGAGTTGCGTCACCGGTGGCAAACATGGAGACGAGTCACTGGCGAGTTGCGGCACCGATGGCGAATATGCGGCAGCGAGCGTGTCGCGACGGCGTGCTCGTGGTGAAAGCGTAAGAGGTGCGTCTCTCGTCGAGGCCAACAGTGACATCGACAAATCGGCGCGGGAAGATGGCAATGTCGGCCGTCTACATGTTTCCACCGACGAGATCGATGACAACGGACTTCAAGAGAGAAATAAGTAATAACAAGATTAGGGAGGTGATTGTTGGGACTAATCTTGTTATTAGTGCTAGATCATTAGTGTTAGTCTAATTTGGGTCAATTAGTTAATTAAGTTGCACAATAAGTAATTTGCATTTAGTGTTATTAAGTTAATTACGCATGCATGTTTAGCATGTTAGCACGTACTATAGTGCGTAGTGGGTTAGTTACTCATGCATGTGTGTAGTGGATTGTAACCACTAGTACTACGTAGGATGTATTTTCATTGTTTATAAATTGAGAATGGGTGAATCAAAAGCTGTAATGCTTTGACCACCCCCCAAGAGAAAACCATGAGTTCATTAGTCACACCATTCGTTGTTTTTTCTTATGCATGTACGTACGCATGGAATGAGTTTTAGCATATCCATCATTATTATCTTCTTCCTCCTTTAGCAAATCCAACACTCGTAAGGTAGGGGTGGGTCGGGTGGGATTGAGGTAGGGGCAAGTGGTGTGGGGTAAAGTAGGGTCGGGACAGGGTAAGGGGTGGGCGTTGGGGGTAGGGTCGGGGTGGGGTCGAGGTAGGGGAAGGGGTACGAGTGGGGGTGAGGTGTGTGAAAGGGGAATGGTCAGGGTAAGATGGGGCCGTGGTGGTGAAAGGTGATAGGGAGTAAAAGGGGTAGGGTCGGGGAAGGGTAAGGGGTAAGGGAAGGGGGTACAAGTTGGGGTGGGGTGGGAGGGGGGTAAGGGGTATGGTCGGGGTAGGGAAGGGAATGGGTGGGGTCGAGGTAGGGGCATGTGGTATGGGGTAGGGTAAGGGAAGGGTACGACTGCGGTGGGGATGGGTAATGGTCGAGGATAGGGGTGGTGTAGGTGGTCGGGTGGGGTCGAGATAGGGGAAGGTGGTATGGGGTAAAAGAGAATACGAGAGAGCGGGGTAAGGGGGCGGGGCCGAGGTAAACGGTATGGTCGGGGTAGGGAAGGGAATGGGTGGGGTCGAGGTAGGGGCATGTGGTATGGGGTAGGGTAAGGGAAGGGTACGACTGCGGTGGGGATGGGTATTGGGTAATGGTCGAGGATAGGGGTGGTGTAGGGGGTCGGGTGGGTCAAGATAGGGGAAGGTGGTATGGGGTAAAAGAGAATACGAGAGAGCGGGGTAAGGGGGCGGGGCCGAGGTAAGGCAGGTGGTAACAGGTAGAGGGGTAGGCCAGGGCAGGTTAGGGTAAAGGTATATGGTCAGGATGTAGGGTAGGATAGGGTAGGGGTGGGGTCGGGGGTCGAGGTTGGGTTGGGATAAGGTGGATAAGGTAGGGGTAGCGGATAGATAGGTAACAATATGATCATAAATTCGAAAACTAAAAAAGTTGAAAGCATCACTTAATTAATACAGGGTGATATGCTTACTGGATTTTAGCAGAGGTAAACACCACTAGAAGCCGACCCTAAGAAAAAAATGTTCGTTTGAAATTTGCTCGATCAGCAGCGGGCAGTTCCCATCGTCGTCCTGCAGTGAATCAGCTATTCTTGAAGCAGTTCCCTTCACCGTCCGGCAGTCTTCAAGTATCCTCTCGGTGAATCAGCTATTCTCGCACTCAGCTGTCTTCTGGTTGGCTCTTCAGATTTCAACCTCCTCTTTCCTGTTTTTCTCATCAATACATCCCTTCGGCTCCCAATAATATTTGAGTTTTCCGATTAACTATTGATTATTTATCTGTTAAGTTTATTTGATTTGTTAATTTTCTAATTTCATGTTATTGTAAAACTCCATCTTGCTGTCAAATTCGTCTATTTTATTGTTATCTTTGTTATCAATGTGATTTTCATTTAAATTCGTTTGCCAGTATATTGTTATCTTTGTCAAGATCATCGATTTAAGGATTGAATTGAAGCTTCTACATTTTAAACTGCATTTTTGGCATGTACGATAGTATAATATTTGACCTTAAAAACTGCAGTGTAGCTTGGTATAAAATGAGTCGAGAAAATGATTGCCAAGTTTAAACATAACTTAGTTCGGTTTGGATTGGAGTGTAAGACATTGACAATAAAGTGCACTTTAAAAGTTAAGTGAACCGATAGCTTTATTAGTTTATTGAATGGAATTAAAAGAAGTTGGATGAAATTTCTCTTATAGAATAGACGAATTTGACAGCAAGATGAAGTTTTACAATAACATGAAATTAGAAAATTAACAAATCAAATAAACTTAGGATGACATCCTTAAGAAACATCCTTAATCCATTTCCTTTTTGCAAATCAAAGAAATTGCTACACTCGCCCTTCTGACCTTTGACCTCATAATCTCCATTTCTGGTTATCGCGTTTGTTATTCTCAGGCTTAGATATGGCGAATATGGCATGGCGGTGGCATAAAAGCGGCGCCATCACATGTATGTTGGTCTCCGTTGCCATTGAAGGGGCCTTCAAACGCCAATCGAGAAATATGACGAGCACAATACTCGCCATTGATAACTTTGTCATAAAGGTATATCTTTAGAGTAACACAGACTTCTTCGTCTCATTGTTCCTCATTGTTTTCCTTTAAATCCCTCCGATTTTATTTGCTTGAATATCCCTATTTTAAACTTTAGTATTCTTAATGAATTCTTTATTAAAACCATTATATTATCTGTGAAGAATTTTTTTGAACGCCAGAGTAATTGAAAATAAAAGTTTCAAAATTCATGCTTTCTTATGGGCCTAAAAAACTTATGGGCCTAAGATTGTTTCACTCATTCAGGTTTTAAATTGATACGTACGTGGTATTATTTTTATTTGAGCTCCCCATCAAAGGCTTTTCACAGAATCGAGGACCAAAATTGCTGGCGTAGTAACTAGTGAGTATTATAGAGAAAGTGTAGAAAGTAGGAAAGAGCAGCTAAAAAGTTCATTAGAGAATAAAAGAGTAAGGATAATTATGTATTTGAGTATTTCCTTATTATGTATTAAGCAAAAATAGAAAGTGGGGGCAAACACGATAAACTTCATTTGCTTATTCTTTCATTGTATGGCAATGTAGTATTCTTATATTCTACCACAGCTTACATCATCCTCTCGGTTGTAGAAATGTTTTCCTAGCATTATGTGTTCTTAATAGATGCATCATGTTGTTGGCACATCTCAATATCTACTCTTGGGTATGCAAGAAAATCTTCTAAATTTTTTTAAAGAAGAATTTTCTATTTGGGTTTATTTGCTTCAAAAGGTTAGATGTGATGTGTTTCTCATCTTTGAGCAAGATTTTAGAAGATGGAGTCTTGTTACAACAATAACAACAACATCAAAGCATTAGTTCTAAAAAAATTGGGGTTGACTAATATGAATCGATACATGATATCCGAGTCAAAAAGAAAAACAACAACAACAACAATACTACCCTGTACTAAAGCACAAAGAGATTATTTTTGGATGGCCCATGATGAAAATCGCGTCGAAAATTGCATGGACTGACTGTTGTTTCATAACAAAGAAGTGCAAACAGTTTGGTGTGTCATTTTGCTTTATTCCATCATATTCTCAAGCCAAAAGAATGAGTCTTTCGCTGCATTGGAAATGATGAAAATAAGGTATGATTAAAAGAGAAGATAAAATAGAGATAAGGTATACATAAAAATAATAAGATATACATAAAAATGAGAAAAGTTCAGGTCCAGAAATCCGGACCATAACCTCAGTCCGGCCGTTGCCTTTTTAGGTGGTTCCCGGTGGAATATTTTGATGAAGTTTTTTAACATGTTCTTTATGAAATGTAAATCATGTCTGCCAAATTTCAACAAAAAATTCAATCGGCAAGGCAGTCAAATAAATTACAAGAAAATAACTGCGTTTTATATGTATATTTTGGTGCAATTATCTTCAAAAAATTATTTGGTTGTCTTCCCCATTAATTTTTTTGTTAAAATGGGGTGGACATAATCTACACTTCACGGGCAACATGCACACAAAATTTCAGCAAAAATATCATCGGAAACCACCTCAAAATGAGGTGGCCGGACGGCAGTTTCAGTCAAGAAGATTACTCTTATATACTACCGTTGTCCCATAATGTAAGATACATTTGGGTTTGTGCGGGTTTTAATAAAATAAAGAATGAAGTGGCTTGTTTTACAATTCTAACCTCCAAAAAACTAGAAAGAGTAAGATAGGTCCACAAAAAGTAAATGGTGAAATGATGATAAAGGTATAAAGTGGGAAAGTAAAAAATTGGTGGAGTCCAATTTAGTAAAGTAATCATATTCTTATGACAACCCAAAAAAGAAAGTTTATCTTACCGAATGGGACGAAGAGAGTATATAAAATAAAAAACGATAAAATGATAAAAAAACATAAAAAGATAAAGAAAATAGATGGAAAAAAGATGATAAAAGATCAATCTGCCACACAAATACCCGCCCTCCACTTTGCTTTCTCCAATGTCATACTCTTATTCAACCCAAGAAGAAGCATATCACTTCTGATTTCTTTAATTCATGTTTATTTGAGTCTTTCTCTCCCTCTTCTCCCTTGTTTGATTGTAATAGGGAGTTCTGCCGTCCTATTTACACTAGTATGAACACTTGTAGTACAATCTTCATACATATCCATGTTGATGGTGATGTACTTACATGAATTGCTTTTCTTAGTTAAAGCCCATCAACGGACTTCTCGAGGTACTCTCTCATATGTCTTTTCTAAGTCAATTAACACCAAATGTAGATCCTTGTTAGTGTCTGTATACTTCTTCACAAGTTATCTAAGAAGGTGAATGGTCTCAGTTGTTGAGCGCAGACATTAAAATCGAACCGATTCTCCGAAATCTTTACACTTCTCCAGAGCCTTTGCTCAATCACTTGCTCCCAAAGTTACATGGTGTGACTAATAAGCTTAATCCACGATAGTTAGCACATTCGTACATCATCCTTATTCTTAAATTAAGGAATAAAAGTTCTCTTCCGCTAACTCGTTGGCATTTTTTGTTTCTATGATACTTGTTGAAGAAACGTGTTAACCACCCGACGCCTCTCTCCTCCAAACCTCTCTAGGCCTCGATCAGTATGCCATCTGACTCATTGACTTATTGTTTTCTTCTGCCCAATCTTTCTCGTAGCCCCTTTAACTTCTGTCGTTTGAATCCTTCTTACCAAATTTGGTATAATCAGATTACCAATATCTTAGGCTTTATTCCCATTGGGCAAGGTTTAAAAGTATGACCTCCACTTCTCTTTTATTTCTCCATCCTTCATTAGTACCGTTTGATCGACATACTTCACAAACTTAACTTTTTTGATATCTTGAGTCCTACCATCACGAAAACGAGCAACTCTATAAATATCATTTTCTTCTTCCGCAGAGTCCAATTTTACATATAACTCCTTGTTAACTTACCCTCGTGCTTCCTCTATGATTTTCTTAGCTTGTTTTTTAGTCTCCTTATACTCCTATATGTTCTCGTTGCTCCAATCCCCCCCCCCCTCCCCAACTATTTGTAGCATTTCCTTTTGTACCTTATAGTTTGTTTCATCTTATCAATCAACCAAAATGTTTCCTTTATTGGAGGTAAACATCCTTTAGATTCTCCAAATATGTCCTTTGCAACATTGTTGATGGTCAACTCCATTGATTACCACACATCCTCCACATGTGCCACATTATCAATACATCATACATTTTCATGAAACATTGCGTGTGCAAAGCTTTGTTAGAAACTCTCTTCGAGCCTCCATCACTTTATATTTGACTCCACTTGTTGTTTAATCCACTTTTTAGGCTTCTTACCTCGAAAATTAAACACAACCTGGGATAACTTTACAATCAATGTAGTTAGTTTTCCTAGTTCGTACTAAGAAGTAATCAATTTGGATACTATTGATTCCACTTCCATAGATCACAAACTATTTTCTTGAATTAAGTGTTCTTTATAGTCAACTCATACATCGAGGCGAAATCCAAGATATTCATATTTTGATCGGTAATGTTTCCTGCTATTTGGTTTCAAACTTTATCGTGTTTGTTCTATTTGGAATTGAATTTTTAAAATTTAAAAAGTTGGTTTGTTCTTTTGGATTGATATTTGTTTTAAGTTATTTATTTATAAAAACTCTAAATCTATTTCAAAATTGGAAACATGTTTATGAAAACAATGGAATCATGGAATGATTTCTACTAAAGTTTCATTAAACTTCATGCTGAGATAGACTGTTAATGTCTCTGCAGGATATCCTTAAATATTCAGAGGTTGTTTAAACCTAAACCACCTCACACACTTTCGGGCACCATTTCAGGTTGCCAATGCCAATTATGTAAGCTTCAAAGCGCCCATCTTTGCTAGAACTTTTGCTTCAAAGCCATCTGAATCGTCATCTGGGCAAAAGCAATCAGAGGTAACACCCTTGTGTGATGTATACAGTTGAATCAAATAATTTATTTGTGTACATTTTAGATGCAGATAATAATGTTCAAACTTCGAAGATGTCCTGGTTTGACAAGATCAAAGTAGGAAGATGTGTAGGGGATGGATGGATTATATGATTGCTATTAGTTTGGACATTGTGGTCTTATTTATCAAGAAGTTATAGGTCAACCAAAAGAAAGGACAAATGGTTTGGCATTTTCCGAAATCAGAAAACCTCAAATTCCATATCAGTTCCGTTTCTTGAATGAAAATAAATTGGGAAACCAACTTCCATAATTAATTAGCATTTCAGAAAATGTTAGGCTCTCATTGTTTTTACCTTTGATGAAATTCCTTGATGGAAAATGGCATATTTTAATCATATTTTAATGAGGATCTTGATGGATTTTTTATGAAATTTCTTCATAGCACAACGTCTTGCTAGATATTTGCTATATTTTACTTTTGGTTATGTACTAATATGTGGATAATGTCTATATTTGAACAAGTAGACTATTTTAGTCTTTTGTTATAGCAAAGTTTATATGAAAAATAAGTGTACAATTACATGTATATATATATATATATATATATATTAAAACTCTGATGTGCCTAATTTTCATATCCTATAGTTTTTAAAAACAATGTTTTTCGTTTCGTGTTTCGGTTCTTACTCAGTTTGTTCTAATTCTAACATATGTTTATCTAGTGATAAACACATGTCTGGTCCTGTAATTATATAAGATTGGCAACAGTAGTCCCATTAGAATTGGTTTTGATAATTTTGACCTACCTTTCAAAAGGTGATCAACTTAGTCTCAGAGCCTAATACTATTGCAAAATTTGTTCGAAAGTATCACTTGAATGAGAGTCCAATGAGTTAATGGTGACTATATTAAGTGTCATGAAGGCATTTATAAACAACTCTAAATGTTTATTTGTCATTTTAATGCCTAAAATTGTACTACGTATTTATTTTTATTTTTTCAAATTTAATGGAATTGTCCAGGGAGTTATATCTTAAACGAAAATGGAGTGTCAATTAAATTAAAGTAATAATTTATATTACGTACTAAAATACTTCACTAAAGAACTCAGTGTGAACAACTCACCCAAGTACATGGGTACAATGTAAGTTCAGAAAAATATTTGTCCACAATAACAAAGGTATGTAGAGAAACTTTCGGGAAATAGTACGTTTTCGTTTCAGAAACTTTTGGGAAACTCTCCAAATAGTTGTTTTTGCAGTAAAAGATATGTTCGCCTTTTCATCATGATTGTCACGTTTGTGTGCAACATAGCAACAAACAACAACATCCAAGTTTTAGTAACAAAACTTTTTGGAATCAACTCACATGAATCAGTACATGATATCGAAGTCAAAAAGGAAAGAAAGATAAGAAAGAATAAAATATATGATATGATAAAATGATAAAAGTGATATATAGAGAGAGATAAGATATACATAAATATGATAGGATAAAGAAATGATAAAAGGAATATATATATGTGTGTGTGTGTGTGTATGTGTGTGTGTGTGTGTATACACCAATATAGGTATATATGTGTGTGTGTATATATATATATATTTATGTATATGTATATGTGTATACATCTTTTCTAATATGTCCATACATCCAACGCAGCATGCACATCTTTTCACTCCTCTTTTTTAATGTGACATTGTTTCACCTCTTAACATTTTGCGTCATACACCAATGTAGGTCTAATTGTTGTCCGATAAAATTTACTCTTCAGTCTAGTCGACATATCTCGATCACATGAAATCCTGACGTAGTCTTCCATTTCTAACACCTGTTCCGATTCTATGAGATACATCTCTACCTTAATACGTGATTCATTGTCCATTTGAATTATGGATCCCAAGTTACAGAACATATTACTGACCGATAACTCCTTATCAACGAGTAATTTCACTATTATTACCGCTGCTTCTACCTCAGAGAAATATTTGTCCAACATACTTCACAGAATTTCCTCAATCAAGTAGTATGAGTGAATAATGTCTCTACCCTTGCAGATATAGTTTTCAGTTGACTTGTAAAATTCCAATATTTTACTTGTGTAGGGCAGGAAAGAGGTATCTAATTTTGATGATCCATTTGATGCTCCCACATACAATATCCCCGAGAAGCCTATAACATTTACAGAGGGAGCTTCCTACAGTGTTGCCATTCTTGCTGGGTTAGGAGTTGCTGCAGCAGCTGGATATGCCGTGTTCAAGGAGCTTATTTTTCAACCAAAAGAGTAAGAAACTTTCACTATTTTACTAAAGGATTTGTTGATTTTCCATCATATTTTAGCTTGAGGCACTGTTGATTTTTCTAGGTATAAAATATATGGGAAGGCCCTTGAAAGGATTCAAAATGACAGCCAGGTATGTTTTTATATGGGACTTCTTTTATCAGGATTTTAATATAATAAGTGCTTTAATTTGGTTCATTACATTACGATTAGTTAACAGTTAGAAGTTAGGTGCACAGATGGTCATGTTCCATGGTGTAGTTCATAAGAGTAGGCATTTACGGCTGAGTTTGTTTTGTTATTTTCAGTTTGGCTTGGTTTAAAACTGACTTAGGAAATAATTCCGTAATTAAACTCATTTTATAGGGTTCTATTTTTTCTTCTTTTTCTATTTTTTAACTCCGAGATCATATACTCCTTCCGTCACTTAACTTTGCTCAACTTTTCTTTTTTGGTTGTCCCGCTAACTTTCCGATTTTCCTCTGCCAAAACCTCAACCACACAATTTTACTTTATTATTTCCCATGCCGGTCAAACTTGACCAAATTTTAAGAGATGGGGGGAATATCATTCATGTTAATTGTTCCCAAACTCTTTTGGGAATAAGGCTTGGATGTTGCTGTTTTACATTTTTCTAATTTGGTTTTAATCGGTTTTCATTAGGATTATATTGTTAGGACCTTTCTAGGGACTTGGAGATCCTTTTGTACATATTTTCTTTTCACCTTACTCGTCCTCAAGAACAGTTCTTATTTTAAACACTCTCTTTTGCCTTAAAGAGTCATGTTTGGTCAAGCTAGTAATTGTATTTGGAAAGGTATGGATGTTTTTTAATTGTATTCGAATTCTTTGGTTTGTTTAAGTTTGGTCTGTTTAAGTTTAGTCTAGTTTGAACTATTCTGTTCTGGTATACGTAGTATGTCTAATCTATATGTATTTTATAATTGTCGAAGTCTGGTTTGGTCTAGTATAGTCTAGCAGTCTCGCCTGATATGTTTGTCTGGTTTGGTATACTCTCGTCTAGTCTGGAACTGAAATCAGTCTAAATAAAAACATCACAAGTCTTGCTAATAAATAAATGTTTATAAAGTATGATGTTTTTTTTTGGGACCAATGTAGTATTAAAATGAAAGTTTAGACATTCCCAAACAACTATGAAAAGATGATGCAGCTCGCAATGTGGTAATCTTGTGGTAAAATGTAGCACACTCAAGTCTCTTCAGTAGGTATCCTCCACTGTTTAACTCCAACCTCAGACGTCCGAACTCCTTGGACGGATTTATCTGCTGGGCTGTTAGGAATCTGGCATGGGCTGACAAGTGTTCATGCTGGCTCGGCTCTGATTGCTGGTGGTGAGGTTCCGCAACTAGTGACTCAGGCTTCACTAGTTGATTGAGGGTGTTCCCCGACTATAACAAAAAGGGGTGGATGCGCCTAAATTGTGACTTTTGATTGGATTAAATATGTCTAGATCATTGAGTCGGGGAATTAAGATGAAGTCATTTATTTCTAACAGGTCAGGGTGAGAATTGGAGCCCCTATTACGGGTTATGGATCAGAAAGCAGAAACCGGGCAGCCCGTCAACGCATACCAAACAGGATATGGACTGATGAAGATGGAATTGAACATGTTGAGGTATTATTATTACTGTAAGTCATTATTATTATTATTAAAAAACAGACGTTTCTTAATCTCAATAATCCATTGAATATGAAATCTTCTGCCAATTATATAATCTTATTAAATTTAAACAAGGTGAATTTCTATATCCGAGGACCCCACGGGGCTGGCAAAGTGTTTGCAGAGATGTTCCAAGACAAAGTGGAGAAGCAGTGGAAGTTTACTTATTTGGTTGTAGAGATCAGTTCACCTTCCCGGACACAACTAATGCTCGAGTCATATGTCCCTGCCTAAACAATACTCCTAAAAAATATTCTCCCTCCCCCAATAGTTGGTTGTACCATTAAGCTGTCATTTTCTATTGAGGAAACAAATTTGTGGCTCATTGTTTTTCTTTCTTTTGAATTACATCTCAAACCATTGTTCTAAATTTTCTCAATCTACGTGCCAGTTAAAGTTGACAAACAATTGTGGGACGGAGGTAGTCTTCTTTTACTTCCCTGGAGTTGAACAAGGATAAGTTCTTGAATGAGAGCACGCATGTCTTTTGCATTGGCTGTTTGTAGAATTAGACTATGGCAGAATTAGCGTCAAAATCACTCTTTTTGGACATTTTATAATGGCAAGATTTTAGTAATTGAAAAGGTTATAAAAGTTTTTTTTTGAAGAAGCTACTCGGGTAGATTCTAATAAAAGCCTATAATTTTAAAGCAGCTTTTAAATACTTCGTATTGGTTAGTGATTTTAAATCATAGTTAGAACTCAAAAGTTTGTTTTATGTCTACCAAACATGCGTTAGCCGCTAGTAGCCTAGTAGGGATGGGTCGGCTCAACCCGGGCCTAACCTGAGCCCGGTACTGTTTAGTCCCGACCTGGCCTGGTACTATAGACTTGGTCCCATCTCGGGGCCTGGTCCGGTGGCTATTAGGGCAGGCTTTGGGCTCATTTTTTGAGCTTGGCTTGGGTCCAGGCTTGATTGCACTATTTTCCACAATTGAGTGCCCAGCCCAGTCCTGCCCTGAAGCCCAACCTAGCCTGACTTGGTATTGTTCGGTACGGGTACAAACCCAGGCCGGTATCGAGCGTGAACTCCTTAAACCCGAAGCCTGCCAGTCCCGTCCCAAAGCCCGGCCCGGTCACGTCCCAGTCCATCCCTAGCCGTTAGTATCAAATCCAGTCTCTAAACCATGCGGTTGATTGATTAATTCAAGATTATTCTACTTCTTTTAACTGTTATGTATGTGTGTTTCTTTCCTCTTTCATCAACTTTCGTGTAGGTATGTGTAAAAGGCTTCTGTACTTATATTGATAAGAATATAACATGATTGAATGGATAAAAAAGTAAGCATTTGTTGACTTCTAGTAATGTTGGTTTATTTATTCATTAATAAATATACTTATATAGCATTCAAGATGATGATGTGATAGATAATATGATAAAATAGCATGTTAAAACTTCTAGTTCAAACTGTTTAAAATTTGGATTACATTATATGGAGAAGTTTATCATTAAGAATAATACTCCCTTCGTCCTAAATTATCTTCCAAAGTGCATTTGGCATGAGGTTTAAGATAGTAAGTATTGTGTGGTGAAGAATTGTGCAAAAAAAGGGGATTGTGCAGAAGATAGAAATGTGTAAGAAAAGTTGTAAATAACAAATTCTTGGCCAAATAGAAAATGAAATAAGAGTATTGTTTTGAAATATATTTCAAGTACGGACTACGGAGGGAGTAGTAATAAATAAAAATGTAACAATACGATAAAACCGCTATAGCAAACATCATTTTTGTGTCATTTATAGTAAATGAAATAATAAAACTCTGTGCCATATTTTTAATATGCGTAGCTATATCATCATCATGTAATGCAAATGCAAGTTTATAAGTATCACAAGACTTGTAAAGATAATTATTTAAAAATGACGTCATGAAATCTACATTGATGTGTGAAAAGTGTGCGAAAGTTCGGGCACACCGCACACGTATCTTTAAGTTCAATTTTGCTTCTATTTAGGACATAGGAATGAAGGCTTATAAAAGTTAAGGAATTAAGGATTTATGTTTTTATATACTCGGGTAACAGTATAACACCTTCCCAAAATTTGATGGGATGTTCCTTAACAGTATAACACTGTAAAGGGCACACATATCTGAGACAAACAAAAACTAAGTTCCATTCTTACGTAGCATGGGTAGCAATAGTAAAATCTGTTACCTAGTACTCCGTATTTGATTTATGAGAAAGATGTGATTAATAAAGATTCCTTACTTTAAAGATAAGTTTTAATTCCACAATTCAATTTGTTTTTATATATCCATACTCCATTGGGATTTCCGCAAATTATAAACCATCCATGATCCATATATACTCCGTATATCATATAAGGCTTGTGTTTGCATTTGCTTTTTAAAAGCACTTATCAGCTTTTTGGATTGAAAAAGAAAAAATTAGTGTTTGTAAACCCAAACTTTTACTAAAGTTCAGCACTTTTAAGCTAGAATCCGTAAGCAGCCCCAAGGATGCTTCTAAGTGATTGTTGGTTTTCTTGTAAATAATCTCAACCTGGAGGATAATTATAATGGTCAATTTGTTCACTTGACCCCAAAATGCCTCTTTCTCTCCTGTCATGTCTTCTTCTTTCTTCTGCGGCATCACATCCTTGACTCCTGTCCTCTATATCAGCGGCTCAGGGATGATGGTGATCCCAAACTATGTAGTTACTCCATTGCAGTGACCCAATAGATGAATTTAGTAACTCGTTGTCTGATCCAATATCAGCGGCTCAAGGATGACGGCCAGCAAGATAGCTTTCTCCAACAAGAAATAGCTACGAGAAATTCCAATCGATGCTCTATCTATGTGTGTATACTCGGATGTATATAACCCATTACAGCAGCTTCACATTTATCTCGAGGAAAATAGCTTTCAAGATAACAAGGGCTAAGATTTGATTTAAGAAAGGGCATTTGTCTACTTTAATAAAATTTTACATCACAAATCACTTTTTTATCAAACACCTCAACTTTTACCTTTTAATCAAAATCACTTCTATTTACAAACACTACCTACTTTAACTATAAATCACTTTTCTCAAAATCACTTAAATAAATCACTTTTAAAAAGTACAAGCAAACGCAAACACACCCTAAGTCGCAATTCATACGCTAATCATGCTTTAACTTCAGAATTTCCGCATATGTCCTCACTTTCGTATTTTTTCATTATTAGGGATGGACCGAGATGAGTCGACCCGACCCGGGCCCAGTATTGTTTAGGCCTAGCATTGCTCGGCTCAGTACTGTATATGCCCAGTCCCATCCCAAGGCCCAGCTCGGTGGCTATAAGGGCGGGTTTCAGGCTCGTTTTTGGGCCTGGTCCGACCCGATTGCACTTTTTTTCAATGGAATACCCAATCCTGTCCTGAAGCCTAGCCCGAACCGGTACCGATACAAACTCGGGCCGGTATCGGTCCTAAACTCCTTAAGCCTAAATCCCACTCAGTCCTCTTCCGAAGCCCGGTCCCATCCCAGTCCATCCCTACTCAATATTACCACCTCCTCAAATTTTGTCACTCATATTTTCTAACAAAAACATATTTTCACATAGAATGTTTTTACTTAGACTGTAATTTGCATGTCTGGTCTGATAAATGTCCAGTCTCTGTTTATTTTATAACTACCAAAGGTTGGTCTGGTTTAATCTGTTTAAGTCTAGTCTGACTAGTATGGTCTGTCTAAGTCTCGTCTAAGACTGAAAACGATCCAAGTAAAAACACCCACTTCGAAAATTCATGTATTAACTTATGTAATCTACTCCTTTCAAAACAAACTTGTGCAATCTACCCAACAATGTTTTTTAAAGAGTGTGGACTTCGTGGAATTTAATGAATTTCTAGAGATACTATGAGATTTTTATAATCTCTCTATTCCATCAGAATTTATCAATATTTCTTTTTCATTGTCTCAAAAACTATGTCACTTTCTAATTGAAGTAACTAATTTGTGAATCTGCTCATTCCTTTCTCTTTTGCACAAACTTCAAGCAAACAACTCTTACTTTTCTTATTTTTCACATAATTTAAAGTTGAAAGTCCATCGAGACAGAGGTTATAAATTTCTATGGATTTCAATATCATAGAATTATCTGGATTTTTATGGACTTTACTTTCTCCCAATCCCTACTTCTGTGATGCTAGATGAATAGCAAACCTACTACTTGTCTTTCCCTCTTCATTCATCAGTTCATCTCCTCAACAAAATCCAATATTCATCAGTTCATGAACCCGGAAAACTTTATCGGTGCAACCTGCAATTGGCGATGGGTAGCCTCCTCTGCCGACGAACATGGCAGCCTGGTCGACCACATCCAACTACCACACGACTTACTTCAGCGATGGTGGTGGCCATAAGGCTCTGTTTGTCGGTCTCTCTTCTACCCATCTCTTTGTCAATTTCTTTCATCATTCTTTCTGGATTTTGAAACTAGATGGTATGCATAAGATTTCTCATAAAATGTTCTCTATGTGTAATTCCACCAGAATCATTTAAAATCCATCCAAACAAATGATAATTGAAATCCATGGACCGTTTGCATAGATTTTATAGAAATCCAAATTGAGAACATCTAAATTCTAATGGATTCTAAATTCCATTAAAATCCGTCAAAATCCATATTGGGAACACCCCTAAGCATATTGGGAACACCCCCTAAAGCTGTAACTCGATGGTTATATGATCTATTCATACCACATATAAGTGCATACACATAAGAAACCTTCAATTAATAACATACCGGTGCAACCCTGTTCGACCAAACTGGGAGTGCAGGACACCATTATACAATATAGTTGTTCACAAAAAACTTAACAGACCACACCTCTCCTTTAGCTTGGCTAGCTCTCTCTTGTGTTTCATAACCCAACTAGTCTAATAGAATGTGCATGGTGACCAATAGCATTAAGAGTAAAGACAATTTGGAACACCCGAAATTCCAAAAATATATTGGTAGTAGAGCGCGAGCTTGGTAGTCCTTTTTTTTGTTTTTTATTTTACGCCTCCCATTTTAATACAAAAAAACGATTTGAAATTTTTGTTCTTGATTGTGTATGACTCAAGTATTTTTTGAAACATGTGCCTACACAACAGTTGTGGCATTGTGCATATTACAAAATAGAAAAGGCATATTACAAAAAATAAGATCATGCTTTAGACACCCTGGTTTATACTTTAGGTGGCTATTGATTGACACACATTGTATAGACCTTTGGCGAGATGCAAGCCAAGTGAGCAAGAGAAAGTTGAGGAGCCTATTATAAAACATAACCAAGTAACATGTTGGAGCTCAAATATAGCCTGCATTCACCATCATAGTTACTTTTCAGCTAAAATGCGAGACAAGGCTGCTTAAAAAACCATCGTCTTAGTTATCTTGTGCCCTGGGAGGTATCCCAACTCCGCTTCTTATACTTGCACCCATTGTCTTCATATCTTTCACCTACAAAATGCAGCTCCAATCAAATACATTACAAGAGCAGCAAAATCTAACTCGATTTTAGAC